CACACACACACACACACACACCAACAGACAAACTTAGCGGATTATATATAGTAGGGTAGGCCGCGCGTTAAACAGTACGAATTCGTAGGGTGCCTGTCTACAATTCCTGGGATGGGCAATTTCACGGACACTTTACACCGAGTTAGCTGTTGGAACCTCCAAGCGGGCTGCGCTGAACTTGAAGGGAGCAGACTCAGTGTTAGAATTCGGAACAGCTGCAGTAGGTCGGTGATCTGCTGTTGGAAGCGATTCGAAGTATTCTCAGCAGGTAACTCCCTTGGGGCTTCGAAGTTTGTGGATAGCAAGATCGCGGACTACGTATAAAAGCTTACCTTCCTGGCTGTTCATCGCACCAGCTTTTTTCCTCAACGATCTATCGTAGTCGATCTCCTCTCGTGTAGTCCGTTCTCGCGTAAGGAATGCACGAATTTCATTTGTAAGTGACCGTCGACCAGCTCTCATGTGTTGCAGCAGCCTGTCCCTAAGTTCCTGATTTCCTAGAGTAATTTTTATAATTCGTGGCCGGGCATTAGTCGTATTTCTTTTAATCACTGGATGACGACTCACATGAACATTGCCGCTGTTAAACTCTCTCAGTAGGTCATCGTCCCCTGAGGAATCGATGACCTCTTTGACGGCCTCTCTGTCGAATACGCGGGTGGCCTCTTCCGTTTTCTTCTCCGCTATACCAACCCACGTTATTCTGCACGCCTTAGCATCTACTGTTTTTGCGTCAGATTTGAATTTCACAAGCGTGCTGTATAGCGCGGAGGGTTGGTAGCTCGTTCATCCGCAGCCAGTTTTTCCTCAATCGCACTAAATTTACTCAAAATAATATTTTGAATATCCTGCATTTTCATGAATAAATTGAAAAATTTGTCAAAGCGTTCGTTGGGTAGGTCCATAAGTTCATGGCCCCTGTTTGATCCTTCCGTATTTCGTTTGCATGGAGGTTGGTATTTCGTCATCACGTGTGCGTGACGTGTACATGATACTCTTTCACCACACTAGCTATCACTCACCACCCTGCATTTGCAGGCTACAATGCCGCACAATTACCAGTGCAAAACCATGTCACAGTGGTGATTGTGCAGCATTGTGGCCTTCTTCCCCCGTCCTTCTGGGAGGAAGGAATCGACAAGCTGCCTGAGCGCTGGCGTCGAGTAGTGATGGTGATGGTGCATACCTCTAATCTTCAGGTTGGTTCGCTATTGAGATATTTACGAAAAAGTCGTGGCTAAGAACTTATGCACCAACCTAATCATCGCACCTCTTTTGTATAGGGCGGAGCCATGCAGGTTCGTCGTTGACTGAACTTCGTTTTAGTGGCATTTGCGGGTTGAGCGAAGTTGGTAGCAGCCGCCCTCTAAGGGCAGGACTATGGGAATGATGTCAGCGTTTCTATCCTCTCAGACGAGCCTGAAAGCTATTTTCTAGCTCACTTCCGTTGCAGTCCAATACGTCTCATGAGGAGACATTGTTAAATCTCGCAACCTTGGAAAGTTTCCAGAGCTCCGCCAGCGAGCCAGCGCCTTTTTCACTTCCTCTCCGAACTCATCATTCATCCTGCAAACTACGTCCTTGCTATATCAGGTACTGATCTCTGCAAATACGACCCTCCCCCTCGGGAGGGAGGTCGAGTACTGCACCACTAGTCGCGGATTACGCGACGCATGCTTGACCCTGCTTGCCAGACGTCGCCAGATGAGCGGCGTTGGGGGCGCCAATTGCGGCTTTTTCCATACCGAGAGCTGCCTGGGTGGCTAAAATGGGCATGTTTTCGGAACTCATCCGCACGGGTGCATGGCTTGGTTCGCACGAAGATAGGATTCAGAGGCAATGATGGCGGTGGAGCTATCCATCGATTTTCCTAAGAAGAATGCCGTGGAACACATCCAGTACAGTATTCGCCAGAGTAGGAGGGCCGCGCTGAAGTGCGGCGGACATTTTTCACTGGTTTCAAATGGAAAGACGAGGTCCGTCACAGAATGGGCTCGGCCGAGTCGAAACAGATGTGGATATCTGCAGTATCCTGATCCGTCATGTTCGATTTTTAATTACGAATTGTTGTGCATGGTCTTGAGTAGCGAGAAGAGCGCCTGAGCCACACGGGTGCAGATAGCAGACATAAAATCAACAACCCATACATTAGCTGGGCGAGAACAGGACCATCCCCCTTCCGTGAACATCATGCGAAGCTCGCACTGGAGACGAAGAGTGATGACATCGGTGCGAGAGAAGAAGGCATTTTGTCTTGTGCGTTAACTTGTCGTCGCCCACCAAGGCCCAAGACGAGAGAGCGGCACTAGCAACAGAAAACAGTTGCCCATTTGAGGCCAGCAGAGTTGGGGGTTAGACCCCAACCAGGGATCCTCGATCCAAAGACCGTTACCGTCGGAGGTTCCGGTGAGGTGCACAGCAGTATGACTCCTTTCGGATTTGCGAGAAGAAATCGTCGTATGGCATTCATAAGGCGTCGTTGGGCGGCTACGGAGACAGGCTTATGAGAGAAGCTTATGCGCATGGAACTTTGGCTCAGACTCTTGCTAGCAGATCCTATCGTCAGCCCTCTAGGGGGAGAACGCGAAGATTAAAAGGCTCAGAGACATCTCTCGGAGGCCATTGCTATTTATAACCACGCGAGACATGGTACAAAACCGGTTGAACGCCATCTCCATTAGCTAGCGGGAGAAGCAACGACGGTGGGACTCCCCGCGGAGTGGAATACAGTCGATATTATCGGATTCGTCGCGGTAGCAATAATCAAAAACAGCAGTGATTGAGTCGAGTTGCCTGCTGCTGAAGCACAATGAAATTTCGCAGCCGCATGATTCCAGGATTCCAGCAGGGGGACAGTGTTGGTTCTAAAAGAGGTCCCAACGAAGGGACAAAGAGAGATCGGTCCTGCGAAGCGGCAATCGACATATCTGTTATCCGGTATTCGCTCCAAACATGCAAAAAGGGGTTTTATTCGCAGCTGTGGATATAAGTGTTGTAAGCGATTGTGCGAGTTGGCAGAAAAGTTTCCAAACGGGCAGCGTGCTATCGATGTATGTTCGTAGCATTTCTTGGAAGGTGGCAAACGAGGGATGACCTTGAAGGTCTGTGCGTTTGGCTGGAGCATGACGACAGCAGATCAGCGAGACCTTTGCCGACTGTTGTTAAAAATTCATTTAGTTTTCTCCTGGAAACAGTGCTGCTTTAGTAGTGATACGAGTAGGTATGGTAGCGGTGGCGCAGCATGGCGCAAGTATCGCTCCACAGCCACAAAATAACCGACGAGGTAGTTTCACGCAGAAGCCTTGCATCGTGACCCAAAAGGGTAAAATCATTCTGTGAATCATCGAAGAGAGTGGAGCACGCGAAAAGACCCTGTGAAGATGCCTAAAAAGATAGCGAGGAGCGAGCGAAGAGGAAGAAAGGAAGAAGTTGACAGTTTGAAGCTGGAAAAAAACAACATTATGCCTCCGCGAGATAAGAAGATGCAAATCCGAATCCCGTCCGTGGTCCGACTTTTGCCCACAACTCAGCATTCTTGTGATAAGTTTTGGCTTTGAACAGCAGTTATCGA